TAATTCATCCTTCAAAAGATTTTTTTCTTAAATTACAAATTTTATTTAATAGTTATTGAATAGATTTTACAAGCAAACTAAAGTCAAAACAAAAAAATAATTAAAAATATCTTACTTTGACTGATCTATCAGGTCCATTCCAACAATTTTGTCCTCTGTCATACTTTTGTTTGCTGTATATATCACTTTGTAATCCATCCCACAAACCCCAATGTCTGTAAGAAAACAAAAATCATTGATATTATTACTGGGCTATAAAAAAAATAAGACAATTAACAATAATTTACGACAACAATAATGAAGAATCTGGCAAATTTATAGACAAATTTTTTAAAAAAGTGAAAAGTATTTAACTAAAATTATATTGCATTATTTTCAATATTTTAAAATTTATTTAGACTTTGATTTTAATCAAAGAATGTTCAGTAAACAATCCACCTTTCAGATTCTTTATGATCACATGAGGGGGGGGGAATCCAGAATAAATGCAAATGAAGATATTATACTTGCTTTTTATATGTATTTTTACTGCTACTATTTTTATCCCTATTTCAATTATACTGAACTTTCCACTTTCAAAATACTTCATGCATACAAGACTGTTTAAATACAGAATTGCAGATCAAAAATAGTGTTTGTAAATTAGATTTTTTCTCTAATAATAAATTAATAAAAAGCAAGAATTGTTAGGCATAATTTTCAAGCACGTAAAGTTAAATAGCATATAAATGCCAACTCAGAAGAATTTTTCTTAATGAAGATGATTCCATTTTTCTGGATATAAAGGGAGACAACTCCTGTTACTTATTCAATATCTGCCTCTCAACACGATGGCAGATTTGACACTCACCAAAATTTGCTCCAGTTCCCTCAGAATTTAGCAAACCTGATCCTCTTCAACTGAGTTTAATGAGGGAGATATTGCTTGAAGAGATAGCCACCAGAAGGTCAGTTAAGATACTTATTACCCTGGACATGAATGAACAATAATTTTTTTTAAAGGTAAATTATCATGAAAATACATATATATGCTCACCCTAAACTGGTTTCCATTCCACCTGATTTGCTGCGCTGAGTTGCTCTGTCAAATGGACAGAGAGTATAAACATATTCTCTATCAGTGAATTCAAAACACTTTCCATATAATGTATAATATTCATTCTCGGTACCAAGGTCGAGATCAAGAACTTTCTTCACATCACTGAAAAGCAATTAAGAATACAGAAGTATTAGTATAAATTTACAATGAAAACTTTCAAATATTTAATCTTGCAGAAAAGGAATGCTATATTTTAAATGATTATTAATAGTTTTTCTTCATTTTGCATATTAAGATAAATTTCTTTCTCCATTTTAAAATCATTAAAGGGAACTTTGGTGCAGGTAATGTATATGCTGAACAATAAAGATACTTAGAAAGCAATTCTAATCTTTTTGTTAAATTTATTAATGTATTTGTCATGCTTATCTAAGGAATTTGAAATCAATTGAAAAATATTCTACTAGTGATAGCAATAAACCACATTAATACACTGATATGAAAAAGCAGTTTGGAAAATAGTAAAAATCACTGTCTTACTCTGGTAATGTTTATAGAAGTTAAAAAGAAATTGAAATGTAGACAAGTTCCATAAACAAATTCAAAAAGAAGTTTTATCAAAATAAATAAATAAAATAATCAGGAAAGCACTGTTGAATAACTTTTATAAAACAAAGAAATCATTATTTACACTACATTTATATTGTTCAGACTGTTGTTCTCATCTTTATTGTCATATTCACAATGTTTCACCCCTTGTACACTCAGGCCTTCTTCAAGTGATATACATTGGAATTTAGAACCAAACCCTTTATTTAGTCCACAGGAGGTAGATTGTTCTAGTTTCATGTGCCATGCCTTTTCTGGATAATGTATATCACCTGAAGAAGGCCAAAGCACACAATAGCCGAAATGTCATGAATAGACAATAAAGAGGACAACAGTCTGAACAATGTAAATAGTTACAATACCTCATCTCGGTAAAATAGACAGATATTGAAGAAAATCATTATTTGATTTCTGAGATGTAAATATTTCATGAAAACTGGATATTATACACACTACAAATAGGATTCCAAACCAAATCCATGTTTACATTCAAACACCAAAGATTAAAGCCAATTTTAGGTAGGTGACAGTTGATATTATTCCTAAAGGTTTCTTTAGTTAGAATTTTTTTTATTTCATGTGTATACATGTTTGTAAAGCAAATATACAGGTTAAGAAAGAAAGTGTGTGGAGTAAAACAACATCTTATATAAATCAACTAAATTACATTAAATTTAGTGTTCCCAATTTTATTCAAATCATATCCAAAAATAGGATTAAATGCTTGAAAATGCCAGTTTTTCCAATTTATAAGCAATAATGTATCAAAGTAAAAAATAAAAACTGGAAGAGAGGTAAGAGTTTTCAAGTTAAAAGAAAATTCTCTAATCATGGAGATACCTAAATTAGGTACCGCCATGATTATCGATAAAAAAGAGCATAGTATGACAAGAATGGCCTGAAACTTGATGAAAAAATATCATCTTAAATGTATATTTCATTATTAAGAAATACCAAAGTATTTTTTGATTATTTCTAAAAATCTTTTACTCATTCTTAGCATGCACTATTTACATTATTCAGACTATTGTTCTCATCTTTGTTGCCATATTTATCACATGGAAGATATGGCAACAAAGATGAGGACAATAGTCTGAATAATATAAATAGTGTACATCTCATCTCAGAAATATAGACAGATATAATTCTTAGCATGTCCGAAATTTTAGTTAAAAATCTTGATTTTTTTTTGCCAGCGAAATTACTAAAAAAATTCAATATCAGCTGTTTTTTTAAATTTTGTAAACTAAGTTAAATTCCTTGTTTAAAAATTACCCAAAAATCAATTATACTTTTTTAAAAATTTATTTGAAGAAAATTTAAAGTTTATTTAATATATTTTGAAAGAAACTTTTACATATTTTAAACAACATTTTTCTGCAAAGAAAGTAAGAGGTAGCTGGTCTTAACATTGTTGGTGATGATATCCATCATGTACTGACAACTAACGTGAGATTCAAGTTATCATACAGAAGGACAGAATTGACATAATCTTTTTTTTTAAGTGAACCAGATTATGTAGTACCTCATAATTATTAAAGTAAAAAAAACCATTCAGCATTCCAATTTTTTTTATTTTGTTTTTTTAGTACTGTAGCTTTCACCATAAGTTTGTTGATACTATCTGTAGAAATTATAAAAGTGCTGCACAGCTGTTTGAGGGCACATATAGTCCCCCTAAACTTAAATAGAGACAATTCAGATCTGCTATGATAAAAAATTTCTATCCCAAGTAAGAATCATCACAAACATTAAAAGTCATTTTGTCACAGCCTATTTTCTCTGAAAAAAAATACATTTTCATACTTTTATAGGGGTAAAATATTGAAAAAAATGACATCATCTGAACAAAATATCAAGGAAACCTCTGATTTGAACCCTATCAAACTAGGTATTTTCTGAAAGCAAACACTGTTCATTTAAAAGTAAAATTGTCTTGTATAAATGAATGAAAAATTTTTTCAGGGGTTAAATTTGAAAAAATAGTTAAAATTTTGCATTTTTTCTAGTTCTAAACAAAAGTTTTCCCCAATAATGGGAAATAAACCATTTTTTTTTTTTTTAAATCAGAACACCTAAATCAAAATCAAACTATTTCTGGCAAAAAATCGTGAGTTTGAAGGAAAACAAAATTCCTAGGCGGTCAAAATGCAAGAGTCCATTGGTAATTTTCAATTATATGGCCACCAGGTGTTAAAAAAATTGATACCCGGACATGGCTGCTATTCCTGACCACCAGAAACCAGGAGTTTTTCTTTTCTTTTTTTTTTTTCAAAGAAAAAAAAATAAAAATAAATATCAGCATTAAGGAAAATAGTGTTCAAATTAAGCCAAAATTGACTGATATGGCTAGGTCAAAGGCCAGCCAGCCAGCCAGCAATAACAAGGTGTCATCAGCTTGTAACAAATCCCACCATTTATAAGATAAGAGCAAAGAGTGAGAAAGAGGAAAAACATTGGTGGTGGGGGGGGGTCTTGATACCTGTTTAACCCCCCCCAACCTATGTTTGAACAATGGCTTGATGTGTTTTTTGTTTTTAACACCTTGTGACCCGGGTGATGACAACAACACTTAAGGAATGATTATGAGCTGCAGGCGGAATAGACCGAGGACTGAGAGGGAATACTGGAAATTTGTAATATGTTCACAGATAATGTGAAAAACTTCACATGAAGTGACATAAGTTCGTATAGCACATAGGTTTGAATTCACAGTGATCACTGAGATAGTTGGCTTGGGATTCTGTTCGAATTTTTTAATTTGTAAAAACACTAATTCAAAGTGTTTCGCATGAAGAAATTGCAATAATGAAATGGACATTCAGCAGAAAATGCTTAAATACTACACATAACTTAATTAAAAAAAAACAAAAATGATTTGCTTTCCTCGAAGCCTTGTGCTTTTAACTAATATAATCACTAAACTGAACAATGTTGAATTTCTAGAGTTATCATAAAATTAGTTGTGGGGGGAGTAATAATTACATAAAAAATATTTTTGCCATGACTTTAAAAAAAAAAGAAAACATTTATAATAATTTCTATCATTTATAAATAGTTTCTGAAAGTTTCATTAACGTCCAACAATTATTTTTGCAAGATTTTCCAAATTAATATCTGTCATACAAGAAAAACGTGCTAAAAATTGTAAAGTTCTGGTAATACAAAGAGAAACAAGGTTTTTTTTTAATCAAAAATTAGAATGTTCTAAAAAGAAGGAAAAAATTTTAAAAATGATTAAAAAATACTTTGTTCTTTCCTCATTTCATCATCTTTTTTTTTAGCAATCTCATGGAGGTACCTAAACTTTAGTATAAACCTTTAAATATTTTAATCTACAAAGAAAACTTTTGTGAAGTACTTAAATTTCTTCCTTCATATTTTTTACCACAATATCACACTGATGACAAAACATTTTCAATCATTTCTACAGAGACAAAATGACTTTAAAAAGATAGGCGTAAATAAAATAAATCAAAATAGAATCAAAATGCAGACATTTAAAACACAAAAGTCACAAGTGGTAGACTAAAGGGAGGCAATTGTATGAAAAATAGCTAATTTTATTATTTTCTAACAAGGTGTATCTGTAAAATATTTGCTACAGTAAAGTATTTCACAAGTAAAATTGTTTCAATAACGATTACTTTTTTATTTTCATATGCAAAGAAAATAAATAATGTGTGTGTGTATTATTTTAAGTTTTAGCTCATATTCTTACTATTTATGTATGTGTGAGAGAGAGAGAGAGATAAGAAATACAAGAGATAATTTTTACCTGAAACATAGCACATTTAAAAAAAAATTGATAATCTTAGACTTTTTCAACCAATAATAAATACAGAAACATATTTTCTCAAAATATAGTAATAAAACGATGTTAATGATTTTACTTTCAGGTCCACTACTTTCAACCAATTCAGCAAAATTACATTTAGTCACTTTATATTTTACCATTATTTAGAATCTGATCACAAAACCCATCAAGAATATCACAAGGGAGAAAGCATCAAACAAAAATTATATTGGAAAAAGAAGACTTCTACCAACAACAAATTCTGGTAAAATAATCTGCCACTTTCTGACAATTTTAATAAAATAATAAAAGTAACAATTATTAATATTGTTATTATTATATAAAATTAAATTTTAAAATTTTATGCATCATTTTTTCCTCATCATCAAAATGACCTTTACATATGACCCTCAGAAACACACTTTCATCTATTTGAGATTTTTATGCCACATACAAGATCTTACACTCCGAAAATTATTGAATAATTCCAGTTTGTTAATTTACCTGATACTTTTCTCAATTTCTCTTAGTGTTTTATCTGCTTCATTCAACTCTTCTCTAGCATGTTCAGCACCTAATTGAAGAAGAAGAAAAAAAAAACAATTTTCAAAAAACTATGACATATGCTACATAGTAAACATAATAGCATTTAAAATATTTCATCATGAACAGACATGAGATTTTTAATAATTAATTTTGTATCAACTGAATCATATTTCATGCAATAGAATTCAATGACTCTGCTGTAAAGTGATTAGCTAGTTAGTTTTTAAAGCCATTGCTAGTGAGTTCAATCCTCATCTCATTGGATGCTAAACAAATGTGACCTTGTACCAAAGCTGGCATAGTCCAGCAAATATCTATCCTAAATGATTATTATTAATTATATATCTCCAGGTACGATGAGAACAAATAGAGTACACTTCCAATATTTGTAACATTTAATTTAAAAAGAGCATTATTCATTTTAGGATATTACAACAAAAGCATGTAAGGATCACATAATGATGCACTGAAACATGACTGCAATTGTGTAGTGATCCTTACATGTTTTTGTTGTGTTAACTTAAAACAAACAAATATATATATATATATATATATATTCAGATATAAATAAAATATATCTGTAAAAAAGACAATATGAATAAAGGCAAAAGGAAAAACCTTTCTTCACCAATGTGTTTCATCCTCTGATGAACTTTATCAAGACAAATGTAAGGATTTTATTTTACAATATATATTTAGAAACAAAAGTAAAAAATATCATTTGGTTTTCAAAAGTCTTTAAGAATGCTGAAAAATATTCTTAAGATTAAATGTGAAAGTGAAGGTAAATATGGGGGATGTTAAATAATGTAATTTAATGTAATGAAAGTGAGTAAATGTTTTTAAAATGTGAAAAACTGATAAGGTTATATCACACTCAAATCAAAACAGAAAAAACAGGCAAAATATTTTGTACTCACATCTTGCATTTTATTTTTAATTATTTTCTCAGACACATAAAAGTTTTAACTACATGAGCTTTTTGTTAGCCATATCAAACTTGACATTTATGCAAAAATCAGCATTGTTTGTCAAGGATTGAACAATAGTTTACTGATGAGATTAGTTTTTTTTTGTTTTTTTTATCATCAAGTAAATCTAGTCTATGTTTTGTTTGTTATCTAATAAGTGAAATATGCTGGGAAGTCTAAAAACATTAAGTAGCTGCTTTAAAATATTGCTTAGCATAGTTCAACCTTAAAAAGAACTCAAGTGTTTAAGTCAGAGAAAAGTGTCAAATAAATTTTAGTTCACTTACTTTCAATTAGTTTTTTTGTTGCCTCATCATATTCTGGCATCTGAGGAGAGGAATCTTTCTCAGTCTCCTCTTTTACTTTTTTCTTTTCTGCTTCTTCCTATAAAATATTAAAGAGAAAATTATATGCAAATATTTGATTTTAAAAGTTTAAGAATAAAATAAAAATGACAATCATTTTCAATTATTTAGAATTGTAAAAAAAAAAAAAAGCTATATTGTTCTAAAGATAAAAAAAAAGAATTACATTTATATAAATTTAAGTTTCCCTTAACAATTGCAGTATTGCCAAAGAAATTTAACTTCAACCATTTGATACAGTCTCATATTAGACATTTTATTTATTTTTTTTTATTTGCATATGAAAGGCACAAGATGGCAAATAATTGTTATTGGTGTGGAAAGAACCAGGGAATCTAAATTTAATATTAACTGAAGCTGCAAATGTCACATTCGTACTAAAGCCCTTTTGAAAAGAAAAGTATCTATCTTTTCTTGTGATCTGTTGTCAGAGGTTTTGACAAAAGCTTGCCAGAGATAAAGGTACCATGTAACCCAATACTACCTGTCACATGTTATGTGGAGAAGAAATGGTTATCACCAAGGAATTCCCTCTTGCTTATAAATGCTACAAATCCCAGCAATCTATAATCAGAGGACCAACTAACTAATCAACCAATTATTATGCTGCAATTTAACAAGGTAATTTGTGCAAGAGTACCACAAGTCAAAATTAGTAAGCAATACAGACAAATAGTTTTATTTGTACCAGAGCACAGAAACTCTACACTTAACATAAAAACTAGAAGTTATGTTTCTAAATGAGATTTACATAAAACTTAGGCACATATTTCTCAGGCAAATTAAGTAAAATTATTAATAATTATTTACTTGAAACTAAATATATGAGCATGCTTGACTATTTCACTATTTACATGTTTATTCTTTAAATCATGTTTTCCCTTTTTCAATTTACTTTGAAGTTTTTATGTAAATAAACAAAAACATTTAGCAGCAAAATAGAACAAGTGAAAAAGTTTGAAAACTTAAAAAAAAAGGCAATTTGGACCAGTTGATAGTTAAAAACTTCAGTGTCAAACTGTTTTGTCAATAATGTGCTATCAGTAACCAATTTTAAGTGTCTCTAAATCCCCTAAAAATAATCTTTTTAAATATCTGCCAAACTCAATGATAGTAATACTTGATTGCTTAGTCTCATACATTTTTTTTTTTTATTGTACGGTTCTTTGAAAATGAAACATGTTGCAAATCTACCCTAAAACTTACATGCCCTTTTGAAATTTAAGCCATACTTTTCTTTAAGCTTTGTACTACTGCCAATTTAAAGAGTTTCACATGATTTTTTTTTTTTTTTGAAAGACATTGAAATTCTCTAATTTTCACCATTTCATACGCAAACTACTGTTGGCTATAATGTGTACGGAATGACTGCTAGAAAACACTTCTGCTAAAATTTATAGATAAATCCTTCAAATGCATGCAAAAGTTTCTTCCTAACCAATAAAAATGGACAATTATTGGTCTCATCCACACATTTTTGTTTTCTCTTACCTTAAAATCAGAATGCTGTAACCACTTGACTATCTTCTTTGTGTGTGAACACAATTCATACTTTGTGAATTCTGGCTTTTTTACTGTCAATTTGCATTTTGACTTTCATATATATATATATATAATTTCTTCTATCTCCGAGATGACAAGGCCTACAAGTAAGTCTTGTGGGTCAAAATAGCTATTTGAATGAGGTAACTTTGGATTTTTATTATATGCAATATATATATATATATATATATATATATATATATATAATAGCTGGCCACTCGTATTTATGGATACCTGTCTACTAGGATGGCTAGCCAATCCCTAATGTAGACTCTCGCTCAGGCACATTTGTGTTCGTTCACAGAACCAACCTATGGTTTATACTGCACCTACGCTGAGCAGACCTTAGTTACAGTTTCAGGGAGAGAGCATGTTATCTAGAATGATCAACAATTTGAACAACACTAGCACACTCAAACCCTCAGTCATGATGACTTGTGACACTGTGCTAGCACAGCTATTGACAGCCTCAAGTTCCATCTACTCAATTTCACTCACAAAGCTTGAGTCAACCTGTGGTATGGTTTTCCAGCACTTTCCCAAGGTGCCACACGCTGGGATCGTCTCCCCTTCAGACTGATAACATCAAGAAATCTCCTTCCTGACAAATCAACCATGATGAGATTCAAACCCATGTCTCATGGTCAGAAAGCGAACATTCTAACCACTCGCCCACAATATATATATATATATATATATATATATATATATATATATACACACACAATTTCGTATTATTTTGCCTTGTTCTTTTTCTCCCTCTTATTATTATTATTTTTCGAGAAGTTTTGCCTAATACACTTAACCATAGTCAATTATTCAACAATTACTTACAGATAGTAGGAATACCTGAGTGAGAGAGAATTTATAGAAAAAACATAGAACATAAAATGAACATAGAAAGATAAATCATGGTAACCAATTTCAACTTACATCATTATCATCTTCTTCATAATCATCTCCTTCACCATCTTCATCATCGTCATCACCCTCTCCAATACTTGAGCTAGAATCAGTTGCAGTAGATTCCTAAAAACAAAGAATACAATTATTTACATAAAAAATACTTTGAGGGAATCCTGATAAGTATTTTATCAACTATAAGCACATGTCAAAAACACCACATTACATTACCAACTTCTATTAAATCCATTCTTAAAGAACACCATCATTGGTGTTTACAAAAAAATGTCCCCAAATCAACATGCAGACAACCAACAAACACAAATAATGCCTACTAGATAGAAGCACATGTGTACACATGTATATTCATTAACATCTGAATCCCATCTAACAAACTATCACTAAAAATTGTTGTAGAGTCTATGAGATAAAAAGGACATAAATTTTTATATACCAAAACAATGTTATGAAAATTAATGACAAGGTGGAAAAAGTTTTTTTCTATGATGCATTTCATCCTTTATGATTTCATTGGATTAAAGTCAAGTTTACAATGATGCCACTGCACATGTGCACAAAGAAGGGACACTGAAATTTTAAACTTTTAAATTTAAATTTTTCAAGTAGAATCTGTTTATTCAAAATGGAAAATAATTCATGTGGTTTAAAATAAGTGAGTAAAAATATAGTGTTATCTTAATTTTATATCTATCCATAATTTTACATAAAATTATGGATAGATATAAAAATTGGGAAATATCTGCATTTAAATCCCAAAGATGAAATTTAAAAAAAAATTCTTACTGCTTCTGCCTTTTCAGGTGCTTCTGTTGAAGTGACATCTGGTGCCGTTATTGTAGTATCAGCTTCTGGCACTTTTGCAGATTTATTTTTATTATATATTTCTTTTATATTGGGCCACATCTTTTCAACAAAATGTTTATAATCAGCTTCAGCAACATCTTCCATATATTCCTGGAAAAAGAAAGAAAAATGAAATCAATTTTTTTAAAGAAAGAGAGTCAAATAAACAAAATCAACAGTGGGCACAAGTTCTAGAATTAACCCAATAGTATTCAGCAAAACATACAATTCAGGCAATAATATTTTATAGGATCATATAAAATATTCTACTTGTTCCTAAGGTAACACATACATTATGTCCTACCAATACTTCATAAATAAACTATTTCATTTTGATCACATGGAAAGAAAAAAAAAAAAGACATATCAGAGACACTCTTAGGTTTCAGCGAGATAAAGAAAGACAAGATAAAGAAGGTGCTTGTTTTAGCATAGCTACAGACGATAATGGGTATGTCCCTATTCAGATAAATACAGTAGTAAATACTGTATGTTGGTTTGAAGTTGAAGATTCATTGTGGAATTCACTTGACTCACTTCTAGCAGCTGACTATTTCTATGTGCTGCTGGTGAATGTTATATGTCCTAAGTAATTGCTCATTACCAAACTTTGTGTGATTATTCTATTCAGTAACCTTCCTTAGGTTACAACAGTGATAATTCTTACATGTGTTTATACGTCTGCTTCAATGAAATGGAAAAAAAAAAAACTTGTCAATTTCAAATATTTTCATCTGTACCCTCTTATTTTTTTAAATAATGACCTGCACTCCCACTTATAATTATTATAATATTTTAAAGTTTTTAAGCTCAAATATTTAATAATGCAATAGGGGAATTTCCATGTGTATTTTATAGTCATAAAACTCACAAGTTTCAATTATTAAGATTTAAGAAAATTCAAATAGCAAAGCCATGAAATTTTCATGGCTATTTCTTTTAGCAATTAATATTCTAAGAGCTGTAGATATTAAATTTTCCTTTCCCATTTGCAGGAATAACTTTTACTAAAGATTATCAAACTTAAAAAAAAGTGAACAAATGGAAATAAAAATCACAATCTTGATCATTTTTCCTGCTTGAATTTCTAGGATGAGGAATTTTCATGTTGCATAATACATTTCAGATGCATCAAGGGGGATTTTCAATGATGCACTGTTTTCATTGCTGATTTTGGGTTTTGCATCATATTGGCTCAAACAGTAACCCCAACCTGATTCCAGAAGAATCAGGCTGTCTCCTTGATAGCATCATGCTATACACCTCGATATTGCAAAGAAAAATTTAGATATGTTTAGGAGTCCAACTGTTCTTATTATCATACACCATTCAACGTCAACTAATGAAATAAAGGCTTTTCATGCTTCCCTCCTATATAATGTTGTCTTTTACTCCATCCAGTTTTGATTTGAGCTATTTCCCCCGGAATCCATAACAAGGTAAGCTGGACTTTTTCTTGCACAGTGTAATCCAATGTTTCCTATGTTTTAAATACTAATCCCATAACAATACTAACTCTTTAACTTTTCTTACCACTTATAGTAGCATTACTAACAAAAAAAATAAATTGTTTATTATTCTATCATAAATTTTTAAGTCTACATTTATCTTATACTCTTAATCAAACATGCACATTCATGTCTCTACATATAAATGTAGTAAATGTACTCACACACACATGCACAGACAGACACACACAAATTCTATCCCCAATTTACATTAACTTTTACAAAACCAGTTATTGCAAAATTAACTCATACTATTTATTTGAAAGTCCTTCCCAGTTTTGTGATCTATCAATTAAAATAATTCCATGGCCTAATCTAAATAAATAAATAAAAAAGCTAACTACTCAATTAAGCAACCTATACACATATTTACTATCTATTAAATATTACTTGAAATAAATCTAGCCAATTAATACTAGTATCGCCCCACAACATTTTCAAAACTATGATTACAACAATACTACTTTACACCACTGCCCCCTGAAATTGCATTCATAATTAGGCATGGGAATGGAAATAAAAACTACAAATAGGCAGGTAAAAAAATGGCAATTGGTAACCAAAGAGAAAAAAAAAAAAAAAAAAAAAAAAAAAAAAATTTCCATCCATTGACACCCCCCAACGGCATGCACGAACACTTCTCATCCCCCATCCATAGAGTTGAACTGCTCTAACTGTATTGTCTCAATATTTCCTTATACCTTGAAACCCCTCTGTGGTAGGTAACGCAACAACTCAACTGATGATAGCAGGTAGTAACAGAGAAAACCGATGTCGCACGTCCAACCTTCTCATGAGCCGAAAGCTCTCTGATTCGAAACAGCAAAACGAGCCTGCTTTATACAGCCGCGGACCGACCACGATTTGCATGCGAATGACGAGACAATGAGATTTCGCGTTAACTAACCGAGACCACCCGGCATAAAATATGGGCGCCGCCATTTTGGTTTCTTTTGCCGTTGGAAGGACCAGAGTTTGCACACTGCACAGATTCGAACGCGTTTCCGAGGTAAGCCATTTTCACAATTTTCCCTCCGTTTCCCTAAGTATGTTAGTGAGGGTTTGTTTTTTTTGTTTTTTTCACTAGTTCTTCCATGGCCACAATCTCTTAAGCCACTTGGAAACAGTTAAAACTGCATCGGTAGTGTCCTTCAGTGCTTTTGCCCCTGCTGCCCCAACTATGCCTATTTTTGCTAGGGCTCTGCATGAGTGTCCTGCAAAGCCCCTGCAACCAACTTCTACCAGGTCATAATATATTCTCCATGACTTACGCTTACATTGTTCGACAAGTTCTTGGTATTTGGACCTCTTTCTCTAATTTTCCAGAGTAATAAACTCCTTCCACAGCACAGACAGTTCCCAAATAATGCACTGCTTCGTGTTGTCGGAGTGCAATATCAGGTCTGACCTAAGTGATATTAAGGCTATGTGTCTGGGGAGCAATACAGGAGGCAGATGGCTTTTAATGGTTCACAAAGCAGATGTCGTCATGGTTAAATCGTCCATGTAAGCCCTTATTGGTGCCTGGTGGACTCCTGATTTAGACAAAGGGCCTCAGCATTCAACCTCTGCTGCCTTTACCAGCATGTTCATGGTCAATGGAAATAGAACAGCAGACATTGTACAACCTGTGATGATACCCTTTTTCCAGTGTCTGCCATTCTGATGCCATTATACCTGAACCTACTCTCAGCCAGAAATTCTCACAGTAGTTTACTATGATATTGCATACTGATGGAAGTACATAATGTCTCTTTAGGGTTTCTTCCACCAGTTTGTGTGGCATGGACCCGTAAGCATTGGCAAGATCCAACCACAATACAATCAGGTTCCCTTTGATTTCTTTAGCCTCTTTCAGGAGCTGTGTCAGGACACCTGTATACTCAAGGCAACCTGACATCCCGGCAACCCCACCTTTCTGGACTGATGTGTCAATGTAGCCATTTCTAAGAATGAAGTTCAAAAGGCATCTTGACAATAACCCGAAAAAAGATCTTACTCTCAGTGTTCAGCAAGGAGATTATGTGAAATTGGTCCAGTGACTGATCTCTCTTCCTTTGGGATCCATACCACTCAGCGAATCTCCACTGCTCTATGATCCTGCTCTTCTCCAGATAACTCTTAATATTTTCCACAACCTTTGGAGAATTCCTGGACACCACTTGTACACAATGTAAGGTACCCCACTCGATCGTGGTGCTGAGGCGGATCTGGTTTCTCTCACAACTTGCATTTCTTTCCAGGTGGGCAAGCAGGTGTCAAAATGGAACACTGGTGGCTCCTGAGGAATCAAACGGGTATTTATAAAATATTATAAAATAGTTGGACAGGAAATTTGCTTGCTTTTTTTTGATTTTTCTTTTCTTCTCCTCCTATGCTACTCAGCTTGCCACATGGTTTTTAATTTTCCTCTGAGTATTCCCCAAAGCTCCTCAAGGAGGTAGGCACTCCTTGCACTTTTAAAAAGCTTCTTAAAGGATCTTATTTCTTACCTTAATTCTGTTCGCCCTATGGTTGGCAGTGTAGGGTGTCTTTGGTTGACAGGTTTCACTGCAACAAAATCTCTCTTGATGCCATGCTAGTTATTATTGTAGTCATGAACTTTAGGCATGTATCCACGTCTCCCTTTGTAGCTGACTAGAGTATCTCGTAAATGTCAGTGTCAAAATCCTGCCAGGCCCTCTTGTTTGCTAGGAGCCAGTTTATCTTCTTTCAGGATTCCGTGCCCTGAGTGAGAGGAACTGTAACTTGGAGAGACTGGATTCTGTGGCATGACGCCTGGTCCTGCACCTCCTCCATTTTACCAGGTATTGTAACTGCATGTTACTCCTGATTTCCCACTCAAGGCATTTCATCCAGTTTTGATGTATTTCCAAGCCTCTCTGACTTTTGCAAGTCTTACCACATCTGCATCTGTTCATAGTTGATTGGACATTTCTATCCGATTCCAATGAATCCATCCTGGTGGGGATCTCTACTCCTGACCCCCCAATCCCCTGGGGATATGATGCATTTAGGTATGTCTCAGCATTTTTGAGTTGCTCCTTGCGGAGCATGCAAGTTGGGTAGCTAACCCACTACCCTTCTTTCCGGGCTGCCAATTGACTTTCCAACTGTTACTAGGTCTATTCCCTGGTTGCCAACTGGTCTGTTCCCAGCCGTCACTGTTAATACCAGGTTTTATAGTTGCATATTACATTTCAGAAGCATTAAGGGTGGTCTTCAGTGATGCACTGTCCTTATTGCTGATTTCAGGTTTTGCATCATATCTGCTCAAACAGCAACCTCATTATTTATATTTGGACTATTGTCCTCATCTTTGTTATTGCTATCATGTTGTTTTGGGCATTGTTCCCTGTGGCCTTCCTCAGGTGTATATCAATCTAGGGTAACTTATAGAGAATTCTGAACTGAACCCTTTATTTAATCTACAGAGGTAGACTGTTCTCATTCCACTGTCCATGTTTAGGGATATTACCTAGTTTTGATTTTTAGTACTGCTCAGTTAGCTCACCTGTTTCCACTGTGTCCAAATACATACTCAGGGATTGAAGTCACAATCACTATTATCACCAAGTTCACAAAACAACACTTTAATCCATACAGATATTGTTCCGTAGCAAGAAAAGTTTACCCCCATAGCTTAACTGTCTTAATCTTAATGAATTATTTTCAATATTTAAAAAAAAAAAAAAAAAAAAGGAGAAAATAAATTTACCTTAGCTTCATCATCAGATACAGTTCCATCAGAATCAATGTCAAATTCCGAATGAGTTTTCATTTCATCAACACTTAATCTGAAGAAAATACACAATTATTGGACACAGACCCAAAATATGCTACATTTCAAATAATGAAACTAAACAGGAAAATTCAGCAATTTCATAATGGGTTTATAATTAATAAAGACAGGGTGGGTACATCAGTTCTCTTTTGAAAATAAATAAATAAATAAAAGCAGGTAACTATATTCTCGGTATTTTTATGCATATACTTATTTTATCTCAACAGTCTGGAACCTGTTCAGAAAGTATCTAGCTATTTCAAATATTTAAAAAGGTCCTAACTGCACATGCATGGCCAGACATTCTCCTGTTATCAGTGAGATGTCATTAAATAAACCAGTGTACTGTATTATTGTCACATTGTACCGATCTGGTAACCCTTAAGCGACAGTCCAGATTTTACACCCTGTGACTTCTGGTTTTTCCCAAAGATGATAATTGCCATTAAAAATGATGTTTTAAGAGTGTAGACAAATTTAAAGAACATGTGGCAGTTTATGGCAATCCTAGAAGAAGAGCTTGCAAAGTTTTGAAAACTAGAAGGAAAGCTGAAATAAGTGTCTGAAGTTACAAAGTACTTTGAAGTGGACTAAAGTCCCATTGTTCTAAGTAATTTTTATTTTTAGTTAATATTAAGTTACTGGATCCTTCCCAGCTAGAGATCAAATCTACAATTTCAATTTTGAAAATGAACCTAACTCAAACTATATTATCTATACTGCAAAAAACATACATTGAACAATATAGTCAATCCTTAGTATACAAAATGTGTTTAGTCTGTGTGAGAATACAATAAAAAGGAAAAGTCTTATTTCTACCAAATATAATGTAAAACAAAATGAGCTACTTACAACTGGTCCTTATTTTCATCCAGTTCAAGAAAAGCATTATTTGCATTATTTTGGTCTTGTTCACTCAGCAGTTTATTTTTCTCTTCTAAAATAAAAAAAATGTTTTGTTTTAAAATTTAATATTAAATGTGTTATGTATTGATCTGAAAGGTGCATTAAGACATTTTTATTCAACGTCCTTAATTAGAAGAAAAAAACAAAATCAAAATTGAATATTCAACAGTCATGAAATTGAATTAAACTTATCTATTAAAATGTCAAAAAAAGCAAAAAAAAAAAAGCAAAGTAAAAAAAACGGGGAGAAAGAAAAGACAGAGAAAAGAGAGACAAGAGTGAGAAAAGTTAGACAAGAGTGAGACAAGAGTGAGAAAAGAGAGACAAGAGTGAGAAAAGAGAGACAAGAGTGAGAAAAGAGACAAGAGGAGAAAAGAGAGACAAGAGAGAAAAAGAGAGACAAGAGGAGAAAAAGAGACAAGAGTGAGAAAAGAGAGACAAGAGTGAGAAAAGAGAGACAAGAGTGAGAAAAGAGAGACAAGAGTGAGAAAAGAGAGACAAGAGTGAGAAAAGAGAGACAAGAGTGAGAAAAGAGAGACAAAAGTGAGAAAAGAGAGACAAAAGTGAGAGAAGAGTGAGAGAAGAGTGAGAAAAGAGTGAGAAAAGAGAAAAGAAAAGAGTGAGAAAAGAGAAAAGAAAAAAGAGAGAAAAGAAACAACAACGACATTTTGTGTCAGACTAAAATTAGCTATTTTCTGTCTGTATTTCTGGCATGAGCCATTATCATTACATGTAGACTGTTGCCCTCATCTTTGTTGTTATATCTCAGCCATCAGTACTCCAGCCTTCATCGTATTGTACTTCATTCTGAGTAACAATACTTTTTGGTTACCCAATCAACAGACAGCTAAAAAGTTGTGATAACAACAACAAAATGAGGATAATAGTCCACATGTAAATCGTGTAAATAGTTATTTTCTAATTAAGTTTTATACAGAGGCTTTTTGCTAATTTTTCATCAGAAGTCCTGAACATTTTGTTCTATTTGCAATTTAAACTCCTAATCTACACTTCAAATTAAAAATGGATTTCTTTATAAGTTTTATTTTTATGAATATCAATGTATAAATGAATTGAGAAGAAGAAAAAATTCATTAATTAACAATACCACACTGTGTTTTCTATTACAATTTATAATCTGAATTAGTAAAACAAAAAAAAAAAAAAGTTAATTTTTAGTTATATATATATATATATATATATATATATATATATATATATATATGTGTGTGTGTGTGCATATTCATGTGACTTAATTTTGAAGCTAATTTGACTACAGTAAATGGATATATAGTTTGGTCAATAGTATAGCCAAGGCCAGCAGTACATATGCTAATTTGTATATCTTGTGTATGATGTGACTCCCCTTAAAATTAGCTTCAAAATTAGGTCTTCAAAAGTCACATCATACACAAGTATATACAGCAACGTAAATAAAAAAAATATCTCAATGTATTCAATCTACAATCATAAATAGTGGGTTATCAAAACCTCTACAGCACAAAAATAAAAATATAAAAATATTCATATTTACCTTATCCAAACCTTTGGTAATTCATATAAAGTTATTTTATAAGTTATTTTATTTAAGTTACAATGATATCCTACAATTTGCATAAAAAAAAACAAAAAAAAAAAACAAAAAAAAAAACAACTAGATAACTGAAGGGTAATTTCACTCTATTAAAAACAGGACTGATCAAATCCTGAAATCACAAGAATTAATCAAGACTGCAATAGATTTTTCTTTTTTTTAAATTTTGGTTGGTTGTTTTTGCTTAGTGACATATCAACCACTATAAATTATTTAATGCCGAAATCTAAGTATTTTGCACGCAATTTTATCTTAGTTTTGGAGATAATGGTTTAGTGATACAAGTCTTACTAATCCCATAGCTGAGGGGTGAAGAGGTGAATTCATACCTTTCCCAAGGGTATTTGCACGTAAGTGAATATAGTGAATGACATGGAATTGGAACTCGGCTCTCATTAACAATTCTGTGCCATTATACATTACACCACCCGCAAATCCAAGCTTACAGCACCTGGTATTTCTGCGTGGTCACCCATCAATGTACTGACCAGAGTTGATGTTGCTCAACTTTGGTGATTACATGGGAATCAGTCTTTTAATTTTGGCTTAAATATAAGTAGACATATACATTGTTTATATTTTAAACTTCTTTAGGACCAAACATATTTGGGGATTTTACCCACTTTTGAAACAGTTTTATTTTTTAATCTTTCCATCCCAAGCAAGGCATTAATGCCACTAAGACACAAAGGATTACTGAGAGTTAAAGAGAATGAGAAACATTTAGTAAAGAGAAAGGACAGAATTCAGAAAGATAGAAGATGGCAAGTGGCATAGCTTTTAGATTTTAAAATTGTAGAATTTGTAAATTGCAAGAAACCGAGAAGAGAGTTCAACAGGTGCAAGAAAAAGTATTAGAATAGAACATTACGGTTGCATTTAGTTAGTTCAACTGTAAAATGGTGAGATCTAGTTACCAATTGAGTAGTATGCTTAAATTCACACAGTCAAGGTACCAAGGAGGAAATCTCATCTGAACATATTCTTAACCTTTATTATCTATAAGTACTTAATCCATATCAAAATGTAATATGGAAGCAAATAATATTACTTCTATTAATATAATAAATCTTTGTCTTTATAAGTTGACTCAAGTTCAGAGCTAGTAGAGATATAATTCTATTGTGCACTGGCACACCTGCAGGACACAAATAAAGCATGATTTTAGATTAGGACATACTTTGAATAAATGTTAGAGAAAAAAAAATTTGGCGGGATGCTTTTAGCTTCAGATCTTCAAATAAATTATAGCTGTATAATAAATGGCTGTAATACCTTCCCAAGCTTTTTCATGTGCTTCTTTAGCTGCTTTCTCAGGAATTTCAGCTTCAGTTTTCCAAGCTTTAAATAAAAAAAAAAATAAAAGAAAAAAAGACAATAGTTTAATGTCTTTACAGATCGCGACATCTATCAGAGAGATGAAATTTAAATTTTTATTATTGCATTATTCTAAAATTTTAACACATCAGTAGATAACTATTAATGTCAACAACTGAGCACAAATAGTTATTAATTAAAAAAATTAGTAATGTATAATTTTAAATTTAATAGAAAATAAAAGTAATTTATATTACTAAAACCATAGAAACAAATGAAAAATCAGAAGACTCAGAAATACTAGTAGTAAAGAGATCTGAATCAGATATCTTCAGATATCTGAATCAGATATCTTCAGATATCTGAATCAGATATCTTCAGATATCTGAATCAGATATCTGAATCAGATATCTTCAGATATCTCTTCATTTATGTCCTTATAAAATAAATTAACCATTTTATAGCTTTTTGTATACAAACCATGGCAAACATTCATCCTCCCACGCCTGACCACTACCCTCGCGCAAACAGCTAATTTCACATATTTTTCCATAATATAGCTATTTGTGCTATGTTATAATGTTTATTACATAAACAATAATAATACTGAATAAATTTTTTTAAGCATTAAGGTATATTTAATCACATCTCCCTAATAGCCGTGGCAATCTTTTAAAAGAAAAAATATTTATAGCTGTAGAATTAGACTAAGTTAATAGCTTAATGATGTAAAAAACTATCACTTTTACACAAATATTTTTTAATATCTCAGTCCTTAATCAGTACACTTAATTCAAGATTTCACTATTAATCACTAATTAAGCATTGTACAGTGAAAATTTAGCAACTTAAACTTAACTTATGATCCACAATCAAAAGTTCATATAAAAAAGAAAAAAAAAACAAGAAATATAAGCAGTCAATTATTGATACCCTGAAGAATAGACAGAGCGATTTCTGGAGGGTCTCTCTACGAAACTCCGGAGTTGGGATACTGAAAGCTACATCAGTCAGCTAAGTGATAAACGTTATACTTGTATTAATTATATATAATTTTCTCTTGTATAAATCAATTACAGGATAAAGTTAACCCTGAAATTGACCAATTTTAGTTGATTTTAGAAAGTGCTCAATAGCTCATCTATAGAACAATACTCATAAATATTATCTTAAAAAGATATAACAACCTTACCAAGCCACTGCATTTTCACCTTTCGGATCATCAGGCTGGACGATCCAAGTTTGTAATATCTTTTTAAAATACGTGAGATAAATGAAAGTCTTGACTATTTGTTTAAATATTTAAATATATAATTTTACGTGAAGTTGAGATCACCTGTAGGCTAATTTTATCTCCCAACAACATAAAAATATTTCCTTAAATGATATTTTTAATACTACTACTGTAAAATTAAATTATCATAAGATACCAATGCTGTTCTGTTTTATTGTTTTAATCAAGTGAGATATTTTCACTGTTGCAATTTCTTGCTTTATGTCCAGCTACACTACTTTTCTTGAATATGCCATGCTGAAATGAAGGTAGTGTATAAATTGTCCATGCATTTTATACTATCAAATACAGTATATATCTGAGATTAATGGTTTATTTCTAAAACCATTTCAAGGAAAAAAGAAAAGAAAAAGAGATTCAAAAACATCAGTTGTAAAATAATTACCTTCCATTTCATTTTTCTTTTGTTCAGCTGCAACTCTTAAATTCTCCAGATCTATTAATTTATTCTGAAGAGACAAGACAAAATATAAATCATGAAATTTTAAATTTCCAACACCTTATAAAATTAATAAAAGCAAATATATCATTATATAAAAGACTAGCAGTAGAATCCGACGTTGCCCAGGGATGTAACAGTAAGAGATAAATCAAGTATCGACCATCATAAAGACTGAAAAATAAAATTGACAAAGGTTATTGTTTAAAATCTACTTTATGCATATCTTAATTAGTTTTTTTTTTTTTATGAATTGGTCAAACCCAAACTCAAACAAAAAACATTGTTTCAATCGTTATGAGTCTACTGATTGAATAGAATTTTATTATAAACAATTGTCTTGTAAATGGAATTTTTTTTTTGGTGCATTCTGAATGTAAAAAAAAAAGAAAAAGTGTGCAAGACAATAAGAAACACTACCTGCCAAAAAAAAAAAAGTGAAGTTTTGTTGAAATCGGTTGAAAAATGTAGAATCCATCCCATATATAAATGACCACACACACACACACACTGAGTTTTATAATAAGTATAACTTCGATATGAGTTGTCCCCTTTCATTCTCATGATGCCTCTTAATCGTGTTTTCAAATTGATTTTGTGCAAAAACAATTGGTTTTTCCAATTTTTGGTGCTGTCAGAACCACCGCAGGGTAATTTTACGTAGTCCTGTGAAGTTTTGTTGAAATCGGTTGAAAAATGTAAGAAATCCGATCGCATATATAAATGAACACACACACACACACACACACACACACAAACAACCTGGGTTTTATAATAAGTATAACTCGATATGAGTTGTCCCCCTTTCATTCTTGTGATGCCTCTTAATGGTGTTTTCAAATTGATTTTGTGCAAAAACAATTGTGCTTTTCCAATTTTTGGTGCTGTCAGAACCAACACAAGTTAATTTTACGTAGTCCTGTGAAGTTTTGTTGAAATCAGTTGAAAAATGTAGGAAATCCGATCCAATGTATAAACGTACAGACACACACACACACACACAACCTGGGTTTTATAATAAGT